TATGAAATCGAATATTTTAAGATGTATGTATACAATTTATATCTCATACATTAAAATTACAAGCGAACTGATTATAAACGTAAAAATAATTTAAAACGCACGTCATGTATTCGTATTATGAAAGAAGCCACATATTTGCGACACTTGGTAAGTCCTTTGGCACATCCGGCAATTATTTTTTCAACATGTAGACGTATCTTTAAATATCTGATGAGGATTTCCCAGTAGAATTAATTTAAATAAGTATGTAATAATATAATGATGACCCGGTATTGATTATGATATTATATAGATATTGAGTCAACTACACACGAACATGAATACGCAACAATACTAGACTGAAAGAAAATTATATTAGTAAATAGTAATATACCAATCATTTAAATACAACTATATTTAAGACAAAACCTATGTTTGTATCGAAACATCAATGRTTTTACAATTACTTTTTTTTCATTAAATTCTTTCATGTGCGCTTTTTTGAATTGAAGGTTGCATAAAAAATATTCGAATGATCAATTAAAAATATTTAATATGCTAAAAGGGACAGCTTGTATTTTTAATCAATATTATTTTTGGAGTAGAAATTAAAGTCTATAATGTCTAAGTTCTATTACTGCACTTCTACAGGATTAAAAGTTTATGTCTATCAGTGATACTTTGAATAGCCTATTCACCATTCTTCAAATTGCTCAGAAACATCAATGTAATCTAAGCATGCATTTGATTTTAATAAAATATTATTCACTATTTTTAGATAAGCTATCAAACGTGCTTCGTCATCACATTTGAATTTTGAAATTATTTTATAAAATTGTTACCATACACATTCAAAATAAAAATATACAAATACATAAAAAGGCTTGTATCGGAATGAGCTAAGTGATATAAAAATATAATGATAATATGTAATTTATTCTGTACCCGTTGGAATGTTAACAGTTTTTATTAAGTACTCGATTTTATTTACATATTGTTTAAAAATAATTTATTATTGGTATCTTGGACTTTAGTTTAGTTTGTTAAATACCTTCCTAATTAATTTATAACAAATGATTTATGGCTTCGTAACATATTTTTCGTTGAGAATATTTCATTAGTTATTAAACTAACTATAAACAACCAAATAGATTTTTTAAATTACAATTCAATTAGGCTTATTAGTTATTAAAGTGTTTTACATAAATATTTTTTTAAACGTATATTAAATCTTGTGAAAAATATTTTAAAAATKTCGTGCTTTAAACATTGGTTTGTTTTAATAAAATAAATCAAATGTTGAAATTAAGTTTAAAAAAAAAAAAAAAACTATGTAGTAAGGAATAAATTATAATATGCATCAATATTTTAGAAATCAAGAAAATAATAACATATATCAGGTTAACAGTTGTATGTAAAGTAGTTTAAAATGGCTTCTTGAATAGGATAAGAAATCGATGGTTTTTAGAAAAACTTTACGTGTTTGAAATTTTAACGAAGACATTATTTTTTTTTTTGCAGTGACAAAATATCAAAGAAGTTCCGGGTCTTCATTTAATCCAATTATCATATGACGATATAATTGTAAAAAAGAAACCCTATGCGGGAGTTTGAGTAACATCGATCAACTGTTTAGTCCGACATTAGACGGGTCACATTCAACCAGACCCTCGATTCAAGTGTTTTGTATTTTGTCCATCATAAATTATGATACCTTTATTATTTCTTTATTTTATAGCAACGCTAAAAGTTTTTAAAAAAACTACACCAAATGGTAATTCAATGTCAACCAAAAGTAACGAATGAATATTTGATTCGAACACTTGATATTTACTTTTAGGAAAAGTTACTATATACATCAGTAAACGAGATTTCATTGACCATTTGGACAGTGTAGATCCAATTGATGGAGTTGTCGTAGTTGAAAATGACTATTTACAAGGACGAAAAGTGTTTGGAATGGTAAAAGCTTATTTAACAAGTCTTATTGTAATCTGCATAATGCTTTTTCAGGTTTCTACGACTTATAGGTACGGTCGCGATGAAGATGAGGTAATGGGTGTAAAATTTAGTAAAGAAATGGTGTTAGCGTGTAATCAAATCGTCCCACCAATAAAAGATATCACAGAATTAAGTCCTATTCAAAAAAAATTGGTCAAAAAATTTGGTAACACTAATGCATTTCCATTTGTATTCAATTTCCCTCCAAATTCCCCATCTTCGGTGACTTTGCAGCCGGGTGACGACGATAGTGGAAAACCTCTCGGAGTTGAATACAATATTCGAACTTATGTGTCAGACAGAGAAGATGATAAAGGAAATCAAAGATCATCCGTCGTCCTTGCTATTAAAAAGGTATGTATCTTTCAAAAGTAGTCAATTTAACATATAAATATGTAAATACTCAGTTACAATACGCTCCATCAACAAGAGGTCAAAGACTACCAAGTTCGCTAATTAGCAAGGGATTCACGTTTTCTCATGGAAAAATTAGTTTGGAAGTCACACTGGATAGAGAAATTTACTATCATGGAGAAAAAGTTGTTGCAACAATAATCATAAGTAATAGCTCGAGAAAGTCCGTAAAAAATATTAAGGTATGACGAATATATCTCATTACGTTTACACGCAGTAATTAGTAAAAATGTATTATCAGTGGGTATCTAACCACAATATTGCCTAATTATAATTATAATTTAATTTAATTTTACTAATACAAATAACTAATAATATTGATTTGCATTTTGTATTTATAATCAATGCTTACCTATATTAATAAATATTATTTTTATAATTATTCCTATAGGTGTATGTTGTTCARCACACCGAAATTACAATGGTCAACGCGCAGTTTTCGAAATTCGTCGCCAGTTTGGAAACCCGAGAAGGTTGTCCCATAACACCGGGAGCCGCATTTACTAAACAATTCTATTTAGTTCCACTGGCCTCCAGTAATAAAGACAGGAGGGGCATTGCATTAGACGGACATCTTAAGGTATCAACAATTTTCGGCACGTTGTCGTACCTACATTGAATTAAATGCATGTGCAATATATACTACAGGACGACGACGTAAATTTGGCATCGTCTACACTGATATCGGGAGGTAAAGGTCCTAGTGACCAAACTGGTATCGTCATTTCGTATTCGGTCAGGGTAAAGTTGAACTGCGGTACTCTGGGAGGCGAACTCGTGACCGACGTGCCATTCAAACTTATGCATCCGAATCCAAGTAAATAAATCGTCATACGTTTGTTTCACATGTTAAAATAAAAATAATTTTCAACTTCAGCATCCGAAGACTGGACTGCGCCGCCCAAACAACCACAAAAAGGAGTATTGAAGAAGACCAAGAGCTCGGATAGAATGAAGTATCAAAAGAGCTTTGGGGACGACGACGAAGACAATATTGTTTTTGAAGACTTTGCAAGACTTAGGTTGGCCGACGAATAAATAAAATCCATTTGGAAAAT